CCCTAGAACATTAATATATATATATATATATATATATATCTATATGGTCATCATATAAAATACATATATATATTATAGCATATATTCCATCCAGCAAGGAGCCACAGTCTCATCCCTCAGCGGGCACAAGATCTGCAGCTGTGACGCTGCGACGTCTGTGACCAGAATTAGAACCTCCAGTAACAAATACACAGAAACCGCCGGTGGAAAATTCCAGATTTATGGCAACATTTATCACCAAGGTCTTCATATAAATCACCTCTTAAAATGCCCTAAATCAAATGCACCTTCCAATTTCCTTTAGTTGCTAGGCAACCACAGAGCGCCCCAGTGATGCTCGTAGTTAAAGGCTGGCAGCCTCGTGGTGTGAAGAGGATTGTGGGGTGAATCACTGTCTTTTATGGCTCTGAGGTTCCATTACAAGGCCAGCTGACAGTGACAATGATACACTGTCACGAGAGAGTAATTATACAGCATGTTGTTTCCTCTGGGGTATCCACTAGCAAATGATGTTAGCCTAATGCGTGTACAAGCAGCTGGACGAGCAGTCAACATTATAATCAGTGGAGCTGATTTGAGATATTAAACAACATATGGTACTTTTGCTTTGAGCAACAATAGTTAAATTTTTCTCTGTCCATCAACGTCTTTGAATTCTATTCTATTTAAGGTTTTCATGCCATATGTAATGTCGGCCACTGGTCTGTATGCGTCTGCGTTTAGGCCTCTTTTCTTTAGAGCTGTACTCTACTCAGGGCTTGATTAACCCTCTGCAGACAGCGTTATATTTCAAGTACTGCCTGTCCCAAGTTTTTCACAATTTCCTTTAAGACAAAAGACACAACAATTGGACATTTGGTGCCCTGAGGTAGATTTACTAGTAGTTTTATAGCTTTACATCATTGGTAATCCAGTATGATTGTACTATATCTGTTCTGAAGTTGTTTGCATGCTTTTTGCTGTTTTTCTTTTAATTCTTAACATCAACCTGCCCAGGGACTGCAGATGAAAATTTTGCTTTATTAAAAAAATTAACAAACAAGAGTCTGCAGCTAGTTGCTCTGTGCGGATGTTCTGATGTGCAACGATGCTGCAGAACTGAGGTGATGGGAATGTCATGTTTCGAAGGTCTTTGCTTATGAACCAAGGGAAATTGAAAGTTTGACCTGATGATGGTGCTGGAGGAAAAGTCAGGGGATCACTCATTTTATTCATCAGGCACACAAATTCAACACATAATCATATTCATGGTCCACATTTTTGTGCAAATCCATTTTAAACACTGCCATCAAATCCACAGCATTGTAAATATGTTAAAAAAACCAACTGTTGGCCCTTTGCGTGTTTGCGTCTGTGTGTGTCCATTTGACTTACGTCAATTACAGGCACACATTCCTGAGGTCTGTACTCTAGCTGTGGGCGTATGACTTGTTGAATCTGGACAAAACAAAGACCACAGTATGAGTGGAGAGATTCCCTGCGTATGACCTCACACTCTGTTGGACAGCTCCGTGTTATGAGCAAACGGCTCATCGCTTACACTCTCATGGTTGAATGGCACTTGTAGAGGGGGGGGGGGTTTGCCGTGATAAAAAATTTGACCAATTTTCACAAAGTGTAGCATCCAACAGCCACTGGAGTGACACAGGTGGATTGAAGCCAGACGTTGTCAGCTCATTATCAACACTTTGTCAGCCAACTCTCTTCACAGCTTGTTCTTCTTCCTGTGTGTGTGTGTGTGTGTGTGTGTGTGTGTGTGTGTGTGTGTGTGTGTGGAGGGGGGGTTATTGTGTGTGTTAAGGAGACTGTAGGACGACATCAAGTTGAAAGATGCCACCATGCTCAGCCTCGTTGTCTAGGGATTATAGCACCCCGAGGTAAAGCTGAGCAGAGCCACACCAAAGCAAAAAAGAAATGCTTATAAGAGGACATCAATTCCCTTTATCCATTGTTACTTGTTGTCCCTGAGCAATCACTGGCTGTTTATCACAGGTACAAACAACCACATGTCGAGACTCAGACTTTCTGCGTCCTTCTATTTCAGTTACACTAACTTCTGTTTTTTTAGTTGTTTTTTTACATTTCCTCTTTCAGGTGTCGGCTTGTTCAATGTGAGAATGTGTGTGTGTGTGTGTGTGTGTGTGTGTGTGTGTGTGTGTGTGTTTGTGTACATCTGTGTTCACTTCCTGCTCTCTGACAGTGCTGTGATAGGAATATCGTACTGGGCCAGCGAACGGTTAAGCCTGGCCCTCCTTTCCCCTCTCTCTCTCTCTCTCTCTCTCTCTACACTGGCATATTTTAAGACTGTTTCACGGCACACCTCACATTTCTGGCTCCTTACGTAGGCCTCCTGCACAGAAGTTGCCAGATGTGATAGCGGCTGAGAAAGAAAGAGGTGAGAGACAGAAAGACATGTGTGTGAAAGGATGTGATGAAAATGGAGGGTGTGTGAGTGTGTTTCAGATGCTGTTTATAGTGTAAGAGCCACTGTTCATTGGCAGTAAACAGAGAAAGAGAGTCAGCAAGGGGAGGAAATGAACAATGGACGGGAAGTGATCAGTAATCTGCAGTGCTAGCTGTCAGCCTCCATTACAACAGCCTGTCTGGACCTCATTATAGGTAAATTCATTTGGCTTAGGGGCCAAACATACAGGAGGGTTTGAGGAAGCGTGTGTGTGTGCAGGAAAACACAAATGAATGGTGAACGCTGCAGGAAGCAAAAGACAGTAGAGTTTGCATATGTTTTGGTGGTGTGATCTCTGAACTCTTTTTGGAAACCTGTTTGTTGTTTGTTGCAGAAATGCTCACAAGTCATTTTTTTAACAAGTCCAAGTCAAGTCTCAAGTCTCTTATGGTTGTAATCAGCATTCTGTCATCTGCCACAAGCCAACCGGTCTGCTTAGAACACTGCATATAAGGAATCCAATGCATGTACTGCATCCTTTGATCACTTATATGATATATGTATAGGTATATGATCACTTTAAAAAGGCTATTTACATTATACATTACATACACTATACACACAAGCCTCTCAAACCCAGAGATGCTCACAAGTCATTTTTTGCAAGTCTCAAGTCGCTGTGTGCAACTTAAGTGTCCAAGTCCCATAGTCTCATATATTCAAATCCTCGACTTTGTTTACTAGGAAGTAGTAGGCAAGCCTGTTGGAATCTGCATGATAAAATATTTATAGATTTAGCATTTGGCAGCTAAATGCATTGCCATCCAGTGGAGAGCTACTGTTTTGCCAACTCTGTCAAGCTGGAGCTCTCAAATGATTTTATAAGTTCTATGATATCAAAGGGAAACTCCAAGATTTCCATATTCAATTTCATTTCTGGACACTAGATCAAAAATAAATGATCTGTATCTTAATATGGGCCTTATTAATGTTAGTGTGATGATACAGGCATTGTATTAGTTTTAGTGGGGGGGAAGGAGGAAAGGAGGAAAGAGGCACTGAAAAATGGGAAGAGGTTGAAAGAAGTGCTAAAAAAAGAGTGTAAACCAGGCAGGTAGAGAGAGAGAGAGAGAGAGAGAGAGAGAGAGAGCGGTCTGCGAAGGGAGACGTCTGGAAAACAGCATCTTTCCCTCCACTCTGCTCCTCCCCTCTTCCCTCTCGGCATCTCTCCCACGCTCCAGAGCTCAGCCTTCAGCTCCCCGTATCCTCCCTAAATTCTCCCGAGTTCCAGCCTGTTTTTGTGAGAGTGTGCATATGTGCATTGAAGCCTGCGCGTGTGTGTGCGAGTACTTGACGCTGTGCTCAGTACTCTCTCTCTCTCTCTCTCTCTCTCTCTCTCTCTCTCTCTCTCTCCGTCCCTGCAGCTGAGGTGGGCGCGTGGAGCCTCTGACCCTCTCTCGCCCACTCCTTATCTGCCTCTCTCTCTTTGCTGCAGCTACAGGGGGGCTATGGATGGACTGCGTTTACCTCCACTCATCGAGGAGGCTTTGGACTCTACAGGTCTGTGCAGCTATTTTTATCGCTGTCTGTTTTCGATTCTTACGGATGTGTGTGTGTGTGCGCGTGTGGATGTGTGCGTGTGTTATTAGCACCGCGCTAACGGATCAAGATCAGGGGTCGATGCTTATCTCTGCTGAGGAAGAGTGTTTACTCCTGAAGTGAGGGATGAGGCTGTGAACTGAGGAGGCGGAGGAGATGGAGGGAGGTGGTCAGGTGGTAGGAAGCGGGGAGGTGGGAGCTCGTCGTCTTTATTAGGAGCTGTGGTCGAGCTGACAGACTGACTGACGACTGGGCTTTACTGTCGGCTGTGGCATCTGTGGACATTTGATGGAGGCGACATGCTGCCAGGTAATAATAGAAGGCTGGCAAGTATAGACTCAGGAAATAATGCGGTCATTAGTTAGCTGTGCTGCACATGTTATTCTGAGGATAATTGAGGATTGATGCAATGTGGAGTCATGAAGTGATGGCTGTTATTTTAGCTCAGCTTGTTTTTAAACTTTAAACTTCAGACTGCTTTCAGCTCGCACTTGAATTCTTGTGTATTATGCATATCGTTGTTGTGTGTTGGACAACCCCTGGTAAGCTGGTTATGATGTCCCTGAATGTGGCTCTGTGATTATTTGGCACAATGCATCCTCACAGAATCAGTACTGTGTAACTGGCTTCAGGGAGCAATGTGTGGAATGTTTTCTTGTGTCTGTGTGTCCTAACAAGGGAGAAGAGTGTGTTTCCTTCATGTTTTGAATGGGCGCGCAGACAGAGCTGCTCTGTGTGGGACACCGGGAGGAGGATGTTTAGTGTGGAGGGGCTCAGAGAGAACCACAGGTCAACAGCCCTTCGACCAGCCGGACAGGTTGCCTGAATCTGGCTTCCTTTTCCTGTGCTGTCCTAAAGTTGAACTCTCAATAACAAGTATTTGGCGGAGCCTCCCCCCCGCCCTGTAGACTTATTAAACCACTTTTGGTCTCAGTGGTAATTTCCTTTCTTACATTTATTATGCTGTAGCCTGCGTATTGACCATCATAACATGGATGCTGTCTCAGGAGAAAATTCTTCCTCCCTAATACTTCTTCCTGTTATCTTAACTCTGGAGACCTCTTTCCATTCATCACAGCCTGAGATGTGCTTTTAAAGCTGGAACTTCAGCGTGTAGTGATGGCGAGTGTCTGGTTTAATGTAGCGTGAATCCTCATCATAAAAAGAATAGACATACAGCAAACAAAAAAAGTGACTTTGTATCTTTTTGAATTTGTGGCTCTAAAAGGATTAAACTGCATTTATTCTGTCCTGGCTGAGGTCAGTCAGATAAACATCAGTCAGGGTTCTTCGGAAAAAGGCACTTTGCGCTAAAGAGTAGTTTTATTTGAGGCTTTTATTTTCAATGCTTTTTGAGTCCTGCTGAGAATTAATTCCACTCTGCACTGAAAAAAATGTCTCTAAAATCTCTCGCCAATTCTACCAACAGGGAATACAGATGCTCTCACACAAACACCAATAAAACACCATCAGAAGCTGATTTTACATTTGCAAGCTGTCTGTGTGTCTTCCAACCATCCGCCACCATATTGTTCCTCCCACTTGCACGAGTCGCTGGCCATATCTCTCTCCATCCTTCTCTCTGCTTTCCCACTCAATATCTCATCCCCCTCTTTCAAACGCAATCCTCTGCTCTCAGCGCCCACACACCCTCCAACGCACACACACACACACACACACACACACACACGTGCATGCGCATGCAGAGAAACACAAACCTTTGCACCTGCCAGTGCCTCAGCCCACACAGCATTTCTCTACCGTCCTCTCCTGCTTTTCTCCGGAGTTGTGCCCTCATGTTGTGGGATTCACATCAGCAGTGTTGTTATTCCCAAAGGCTGCACAAACAGGGTTTCTCTCAGCTCTCTGGAACTAATAAACAGCAAAGCAGCTGCTGTAGACAAACTTTGTAGATCTGGGAGCTGCAGAGACCTTCTGAGAAAAAAACAACAGTGTGAGATTCTAACATCAGTGTTTAATATGAACCGGCAAATGAAAACAAACATTGCATGTTTTTCCACCCTCAGGCATCCCAGTATCCCCCCCCCCCCCCAACCTCTGCACCACCTTATCCCCGTTTCCCCCCATCAGACTTTAGTGCTTTTTAAAGCAGGCTTTCAGGGCACTCTGCAGGCCCCTAGCAAAATTGAGTGTGCCACATGTTATTTTATTCTCTCTTGGTTGCATAATGGAAAAATTCCTAAAACTTTCGGGTGACTGGAGAAGGTTCACGAACTCATGCGGCTCCTTCCTGCGGGTTATTCTATGGATTTCTAAAAACTTTTCATCTCCCTACGCAGAAATGCTCGGCGCCGTCAACCTGTCATTAGGGCGCACTCTCGGTCCCTCTGCGTCTTTATCCATTTCAGATTTGGCAGCTACTCCCTCTTCGCTCTGTGATTTAAGTGATTGCGAAACCTTCCACGGAGATTGCTTTCAGGTGGGCACTGATTTGTGTGATCACATGGATCGTTCCCACACCACTTTTCATGCTTTGTTCTCTGTCGCCATTCATACCTCTGAACGGAATACGCAACAAGCACATGTTCACACAAACACATCACAGCCACACGACCACTCCTGAAAAAAAGCATCTTTTCACCGACAGTATGCAGACACTGACACAGATGTTGTGCACGCTCATCTAATGAGGCCAAATTATAGCTCATTCTACAATGTATCTCTATTCCGTTGACCCATTTTCTCTTATCTCACTTTGAAAGTGCAAACGGATTTCCATTTAAATAACAGAGCGGCTCATTAATTAAGTCAGTCCAACTCTTTGGTGCTCATGATTCCTGTTTCTTTACTTGTCGCCTCCTGCTGCTGTTGTTCCTCAGCTTTCAGGCTCAAAGTACTGAGAGAGAGAAAGAGATAACCTAGCATTAACCTCATGAGACCTCCTACCCTGCAGCCCCCTCCTCATCTCAAGCTGTTGAGCCTCACACCGTTTGAAGTCAGAAAACCTCATATGATGCTCCACCATATGGGGCTTCATGAATGGCACCTGATAAAATCACTTGGGCTGCTCTGTGGGGAAAAGCAAAAAGCGGACAGACAGATTTCCATGCTTAGTAAAAGCAACAAAACAGCTTTATCACCATGGTGACTTTCCACATGGTGAAGCCCTGGGTTGTTAGTGTGCAGAGGTCACCATGGAGATGAATTAGTGTGCTGCTTCACCTGAGTCCTTCTACGTCATTTCAAGAGGAAGTGAGCAGCTCGAGTCCCCTCGGGCACTTCATGACTCCTCCTTCTTTGCACCTCTTTTATTGTCTTCTCCTCCTTTTCCTCTTTTGCTCTTGCGCAGTCTCTCCATCTTTTCCGACTCTCCCTCCCTACATTATGTGTTGCTGAGGAGGTGTTCCAGTTGTAGAGGAAAAGCTACAACCAGTGCAGAGCTGGCTTCAAAGCCGGGGTATAGGGTGCATTATGCATGGCCTCCTACACAGCTGCCGAGATCCACGGCATATATTCAGACCCGTGTGATCCAATATGTGTATATGAACTCATCAGAAGTGGGCCCAAGAGATCATACAACCTAATGATACACGAGCCTGCATGCCACTGTATATATTCACACACACAGGTACAAGTACAAGCGCATATGCCTACATTCATATACATTTTATGATTAAATTATAAAAATGCCGCACATACACAAGCACCACCTGTCTCCCCAATCCCATTTTCAAGCTTGGTTCAGCACAAGGCAACCGTCTCATCACACCTGTCGACAGCCTCCAGCTCAGGTTTCTGTGGGCCGCCATTTCTTTTCACACTTTTCACTCTTTTCTTTTATAAACCGCAGTGTTTTATGGAGAAAGGCTTGCCTGTGGTGCCAGGTAAAAGCAGCTCTGTCCCACATACACGCCTCTGCTAGCACGCCTCTGTCTGCTAAAATCCTCACGCTGCTCCTCAATTTTGCAAAGTCCAAATTTCATTACTCCATCACTGAACACTAAATCAGAGGCAAAACAACGGGCTTTGTTTTGCCACATTGATGCTCACATTTAATCTCGGACAGCTATTCTCAGATGCTGACAAAGAACAGTCAGTCTTGCTAGTTGTCTCCTCTCTAAAGTGGCACAATGTTTGCAGTGACATCCTCAATGTGTTTTGCTGCAGTGCGATTACAAAGGAATGTGGCATGGCTAGATAAAGCCATCCTCTCCCCGGAGCCGTAACACCGCTCCTGAGATGACTCTCCTGCCCGCCCCTGCTCTTGTATGCAGGCAGCGTCCATGTCTAATGCAAGCCCTGCGTGACTAAAGACCAGCGCTGTGCCAAGCATGCGGTGGAGTGATCACAGGTGTCGCTGCAGCTGATTCTGCTGCACAATTTATTTGACATTCACTCACAAGGTGAGGTGATAAAGCTTCCTTAAGCACTGAGATGATTAACAGGCTGTTGGGAATAGCAGGCAGGCAGACCTACGGCAACACTGAACCGATAGTTGGAATGGTTTAATAGAGTTGGTGATGAATGCAGAATAATATGTTAGTAGAGGTTGAATCCTTTGCAAAGATGTCATCAAAGGAAGTTGAAGACAGCAGCAGTGCAGAAAGAGTGAAAAAAAGTGTGCAACCTAAGCACAAATGGCTTAAGCTAAAGCTGTCAGTTATCACGCCCCAAGCTAGAAATCCTGAAGGATTCGGATGTGAGTGACATTCATTAGGGGGCATTCATTTTGTCTCTTGATGGCCTTTAGTTGCCGCTGGCCATACAAGCAGCTCCGGCTCTCTCCCTGCCACATGGCTTCCTCCAGCTCTCCTTTATGACTAACTCATTACACCACCAGCATCAAAGTTCAATGACAAAATAGCCCAGTGCTCATGAAACCTCTCACACGCCTCTCAGGGGTTGCATTGTTTAAACTAACATTATTATGAGACATGAAGAAAGCGGCCTGCTGCTAATGTCATACAGATATAATAGGAAAATGGTGCAACTGCTCGGTTGTGATGGAAATAGTTACATCTAGTGAGAGGAACAACAAGGCAGAGAAATAATTACCTCCAGAGATGGAAGCATCCCCCGAGACAAGATTACACCGCTGAGCATCACTCTTAATTAGGTAGATCTTTAGTTAATACTTTACTGTGTCCCCTGCTGCACCTTCTCCTCGTCACATCTGTCCATTCTCGTCTCTCAGCAAACACCAGTCCCCTGTCCCATCCTCGCAGTGCTTTCTGAGCACAAACAGCAACTTTGAGGCACCCGGAGATCACTCAAACATGAATGCGCGATGCTACACATCAATTTATTTCTGAGATTGGACTTGACCCTGCAGGGGCTGTTATTAAGAGAGAAATGTAGGCCAGTGTGTGATGTAAGCCAAATTTCCAGGGATGAGGCAGTAACTAATGCACGAGTAACTGCACCTGAGAACAAACTAACATGGTGGATATTATCTCCTTCTACCTCTGGTCTTTCCTGCCTGGCAGCAAATTTAATCTGACTAATGGGAAAAGCTTTTTCTTCCTAGTCAAATGGGAATTTACCGTCATGATGCCCTTCCTTCCAGTTTTCTAACCTGCTCTGCATTCGTCTTCGCGGTACTAGCAAACAACAGCGGTTAGTGTCAAATCAAGTCTATTAGTATGGCTCTTCATCATATACAATGTCTCATTGGGCTTTACAGACCCACAATAACAACAGCTCAGTCCAGGCTGTCTGCAAGGACGAAGAAAACCAACACAAAAAAAGAAAAAGCAAAATGGCAGATGACCATGTAATGTGGCACAGTGTGATACCAGAGAGAGATGTGTGTTTGTCACATCTCTTACTATGAGTGGTAGCTCGGGTTATTATGGAACTGGCGGTGCATTGCTGAGTGGTGAGTCATAGTGATTGCTTCAGCATACAGGCCCACCTCCCCCCTTCTCTCACCGCATTGTGTCAGCTAACTCACTCCACCTGCTGGTCAGAAATTCAACAGAGCAATGTAAAACATATGTGAATTAACATTGTAATTAAGTGTCATCAACATGTGGTATGTATTAATGACGTCTCACTTAACAAGCACACAAGTGTCAAAACTTTGACACACGAGACATGTTTCGACATATATATTTTGAATGCGTTCTTCCCGACAAGAATGGAGTTCTTGATTCCTTTCTTTGAAAATCTCAGCTCTAATCTCATAAGAGGGCTATCAGTAGTTCTGTATATTTAAATCAGAGTGTTAAACTGAGGTACATGAGCGGAATAGATGTTGGTGTTCAAAGAACTCAGTGCCGCTTTAATCACAAGATGGTGCTGTTGATTCAAAAGAAAACGCAGTCTGTGCTGCGTTTCCCTCTCTTCACCTATCAGGCATCTCTTTCTAATACCGCTGTCATTCTGTCAACAGATGACCCGTGCGATCTGAAAGCAGAGTGCAGCCCCACCATGGACAACAACATCACAGCGAAGGAGAGAGGCGTGCTGGAGGAGAACAACGAGAAGGAGGAGATGGACCAGGAGAGAGCTCAGGAGGAGGAGGAGGAGGAAGAGAAGAAGCTGAAGGAGGAGGAAGGCGAGGGGGAGGAGAATATGAAGAACGAGCAGGAGCCGCTGACAGAGGAGCAGGAGCTGGATGAGCTGAGGGCCCAGGTGCTGGAGCTGCTGCTGGAGCTGGACGATGCCAGAGAGACCTCCAACAAACACCAGGAGGGCTTCCATGAGCTGCAAGGTGAGACTTACAGCCTTGGAAATAACTGTATACTATTTATTCATTATTTAATGCATTGAATCATTTATCTTCCCTCTATTCAACAGTCATCTGACCTGAAATCAAAATCTATGGAACCAAAGGCAAACATCTTCCACATACCCTAAATCCTGTCATCCTGGGCAAATTTGCTTTCCTTTATGAGTATTAGTCATGACAATATTTCACTCACCACCTCCGCTATGGAGATTTAAAAATAAATGTAAAAATCCCAGCTGTCGGGGCAAGGACTCCAGAACTCCAAGAACTCCAGCAACACTTATAGTATTTACATCTTATTGACCAACGCGTTTCAGCTCGTGGCCTTCGGGTCAACAATCAGATCCAGTTTTACTTTAAGCAAAACAAGATGAAAAAATATATTCGTTTTTTGCGATTGATTACACACTTGTTACAGAATTTGGCTCATTGATCTAAACGCTACCTCAAATAAGCCAAATAAGGCAACACTTGGAGATAAACATGTCACTTCTATGTCAAAATGAAACTCTGCAATCAAAACCCAACAGTCCTTTTTCCAAATGGCATTTGTGCAACAAAATGACACACATGCAACATTTGAATAACTGTCTCAAAGCAGCTACAACACACTCATGACTTTAGTGCTTTGTATACTTTTTTGATTTCATCATAAACATTCATCACAAAGATTGTTCCAGTACTCATTTGCTCACAATGAACACAAGTATATGCAGGTTTTTACAAAAACAACATAGAAAGTAAAATGACAGTACATTAATCAAAACAATATGTTCCTGTTATCTGTACAAAATAATAATAAAAGTAAAATTACAGTGCAGTGGTAAACAAAAAAAAAGTAATGTAAGGGTTGGTGGATGGTTTTGGATCCAGCCTTCTCTTGGGGTCTAACCATCCCCTCATCCACATCACAAGCAATGTCATCCCTGGTCCCTTTCTTTGTTCTTCTCCTTCTCTTCCTCCTCTTCCTCTTCCTCTTCTTCCTCCCCCATGCAAAGGTTTTGATACCTTTGCATTCACTGTGTAAGCAATTGCAAAAAACTGTAACTGAAACTGAAATGAACATAGCTACTGCATTGTACTTTAAATATAATACAGTATATAGCAATTAAAGTCCTCTAACTCTCTCTCCAACATTGTTCTCCATTGCTGTGCACACAAAGAGTGCTCAAGCTCAGATTTCTAAGTGGTCTAATTGGTTACAAGTGTTTTCTAATCTTGTGATCTGGGTGCAGGTGATTGATAATTTCTTTTTTGAACAATGTGTCAAATGTAGATAACCGTGTGTAGTTAACACACTTGTAAATTGTATATTGTGAGGACTGGAAGACCTCAATCTTAATTTTGCGATTTTGTACACACAGCCACAGAAGAAAACCCCTGTCCTCTCTATCTGGACGGCTTAACTTTCCACCGGAGACATCTCCTGTTCATCACAATCTAGTTGAGCATGTAGAAGCGTAAATGTTTATATGCGGTCACTGACACAGTTCCTCATCATGGGCGCTAAATGGAGCATCACTTCATAGCTTAGAAATGATGAGCTTAACGTTCAGGGACACCAGCAATGAGTTAGGCCTTGGGTATGGTACTGCAGTGAACTCAGTGTGTGTGTGTGTGTGTGTTTGCGTATTTATGAGTGTGTGTTTATGACTGTGTGTCACACTAAAAGACATGGCGTGGTGGGCTCAGATGTTTGTTTGGCAGCGGTAGAGGCATTCCTCAGACAACTGCGTGCATGCTGAGGGAAGCTTCCAGACTGGGTGTCCGAGACCACAACGAGAAATCTCTTTTGGTCGACCACCACTGGGAACAGTCAGCTGTTCATGCTGCTGGCAGCTGGTGGGGGGGGGGGGGGGGTGTAGGGGTCCTGAGTGTAAACGGTCAGAGAATTACGTTAGGGAGGTAAAGATCATAATTATCAATATGATGATTATTAATACAAGCTGCTAATTTTGTCTCGTTGTCATATTTTTTCTTTGTCCATTTTTTAATTATCTTTGTGAAGGTATATTGTCATGTGATCTTATTGTCGTATACATATAGGATATTTATAAAACTGATATAGTAACAAACCTATACTAATACTGATGGTCCGGCTCGTGTTGTATTGTAACACACAAAACTGCTCGTGTCATTCAGTCATGCCTCAAGGTTGAACCGCTTATCAAGTTGTCATCTTTCTATTGGCCTGCTGAACTGACATTTCCTCTTATCTCTCTATCCACTTCCCCTCCCCTCCCCTCTCCACTCTCCTCCACTTCCCCTCCCCTCCCCTCTCCACCACTTCCCCTCTCCACCAGGTCTGTTGGAGGATGAGCGTCTGGCAAGTGCCCATCAAGCTGAAGCCTTCACACGACAGATCCAGAATCTACAAGGTATCGGCGTAATAAAACGCTCCGGAGTGAAGCTCTGTTCTTTGAAATAACCCAGACAATAACTATTGCTTTTCCCCGTAAACAGAAAAAATCAATCAAACATCAGCTATTGCCTATTACATTTCTCATGTCTCTCGATAGTTAAGGTTGATGCCAATTTTGTCAACAGGACCTCCATCGTGTATGCCACTGTATGCTCTCAGATAGTGCGTTGGGATGTGACTAACTAGAAAACGTTAAATGCTTGCAATCATTTGCCTTATTGATTCGGGGGCAATTCATTTCTTGTGGCCATTTTTTTTTAAATTACATTTTACGTCAAGAAATCATTCACACAGAGACACAATTATTCCTCAGAAATGCTTATTGAGATTTGAGCCCAATCATGAGTGATCAATAAAACACACCTCAGAACCATCACAATACCAAAAGTAAGAAAAAAGAAAGAAAGGAAACAAAATCTTTACACAAAAAGAGACAATTGAATATAGAAAATGGAGGAGCTGAGCATAGTTTTTAAAGCTACAACTTTTTTTTCAGTCAGTTGGGGAACTGCCAAACTATTTCATGACGGATCTGCAATGCACAAATTATGTCCGAACTGTTTAATCAAGTAATTACTGGTTTTATTGCCATTACCCTTTATTATTGCACTTGTTGTTTCCTGAAAATACTAAGCCAACAATCTGAATCTGACCCTGAGAAAAAGGTCTGTTACCATCAGTTACATCAGCTCCTCTTTCAAACAGTACCCCCCACACACACACACACACACACACACACACATGCAAGAACACACCACCCACACACACACAAACACATGCAGGCCCACTGATGCAAGACCTCAGGTAAGATCATATAAACACACACACACACACACACACGCACGCACGCACACACGCACACCCACATTTATACACTTATACTGATACTGCAGTCTAACCCACATTGCCCTCCTCCTCTCCCCACAGCCCAGCTGCGTTCTGTGCAGGAGGAGATGGACAGCCTGGAGGAGGAGAAGGAGAGCGAGCTGGCCGAGGCCCAGGAGGAGCTGCGTGTCGCTCAGGAGGAGGTGTTCCTGCTCCAACAGGCGGCAGAGGAGGCGGGGGCAGAGAGGGAGAACGACATCGCCTCGCTGCAGGAGGAGCTGTGTCGCCGGCGGGTCGAGCTGCAGCGCCTCAGCGAGGAGACCCAGGAGTACGAGCTGGAGATCACCACGCTGAGGGCCGAGATCGGCATGAAGAGCCAGCGCAGGGAGGCCGAGAGGAGAGAGGGTGAGGGACGAGGAGTGTCGAGTAGATGGGTGTAGATGGATGCAAAGGAGAACGGATGAACTGATGTAGGCCTGTTGTTTTATTACAGTAGGTCTCTATAAAACACAAGAAGTCTTGGTGATGCACCTCATCTTCTTATCTTGTGCAAACAGCCATCATGCCCATGGCCATAGCCCATGATCCGTCTTTGTTGCTGATATTATGAAAACAAAGCACGATGCTATGGATGTTCTTATTCCATGCTCACATCAGGTTAGCATCCCACAGTCAAGCAAGTAAATCATTCGTGAGGTTTAATAAATATTACAAATTACAAATGTGGTCGCTGAGTGCTGCAAGGGGAGTGGTGTGTGTGTGTGTGTGTGTGTGTGTGTGTGTGTGCGTGTACAGATGTGTGTGTGAGGATACCATGGACATGAAGTCATGAGGGGGAGGGATACGCACTTCTAACACATGACATCATCGCTGGGTTCCACAGCTGAGCCTTGGGTGGGACTGAGGGAGGGGAGTTGATATTATATAATTGTCAGGCTCTTTCATCACATCAACCAAAATGTATTTCATATGCAAGTACAATCTGACTCACAGTTGGCATTTATTTTAAAGGAATAGTTTGACATTTTGACCAAGACCAGTAACATCCTGGAGTCTAGCAGCTGGTCCCAGCCAAGAAGTATTTAAAACCTGCATAACACGGCAAATAGTCTTTTTCAATACTATTAAAAAGATATTATATTTTGATCAGTGAGCGTTACAGCCCGGCTAGCTGTTTACCCCCGTTTCCAGTCTTTATGTTAAGCTAAACTAACCAGCTGCTGGTGTCAAGCTTCTCATCTAATTCTCGTCAAGAAAGCGCAAACACAAGCTATTCCTTAAATACATTCCATACGTGTAGTAATGATGTTAAAGCCTCAGTCAGTGACATTAAAGATGAGCTCAACTGACCTCCTCCATCTCTGACCTTCCTTGTTCTGTCAGGTGACGTGGACCTGCTGAAGGAGGAGTGCCGTACGCTGAAGGAGGAGTGTCAGACCCTGAAGGAGGACAACAGACGCCTCACTGAGAGGCTGCAGCTGCTGCAGAGACAGAGGACATGGTGAGAGGTCAATGGCTGTTCACTCGTCAGCTGTGCTTACTGGTTGAGCTGGAGGGGATACCCTCTGGAATACTACACTACCCACAGGCGTTCACGTCATGTCTCATTTAGAAAAGACTGCCAGGCCACCTGTTTAATCACTTACCAACATCATGCCAGGGATTACACATAAATGTATTCGTTGATAAGTAGATTGACAGAGAATTAATCAACGACAATTTTGAGATTGAAAGTTCATTCTTGACGTTTAAAAAACGTTAAGCCGTTAAAACCCACTTAGGCAGTCCTCGTTCACCAGTGTTTATATATTTGGGATTTGTTCTTATGTAAGAACACACACAGGCTAAAGAACACACTTACGCACATTTGAGTACTGATATGTTTGTACATAAAATGTTTGTACTGTGTTTTCATCAACTCTACAGTTTCTGTAGATATGTTTCTTTGGATCTTTTTCAAGAACAAATATAAAAGAAACATATTCAAGATATTGATGATTGATCTGCACACAGGATCTATTTAGTAGATGTTATGTTATTTTCTTCCTCAGCAGACAGGGTGTACTCCATCTGCTGAGGAAGATCTTGTGTTACATCGAACGCAAAAGCCAACTTTATTTATAGCACTGTTCTAAACAGAAGTTACGCAGTGCTTGACAGGAAGAAGAGAAGGGAAACGGGGAGTCAGAAGAAACAGAGCAGACAATACGTACAAAACGGAGAAATAACTTACAAAGTATAACATCAAGAAAAACAGCTGAGAAGTCCCAACTGCATAAGCACGATGGCCATAACAGTTACTGGACCATGTGGTGGGACAACAATTTAAAATGATGATAAATCACATCTAATTAATCAAGCTATAAATACCAAACGTTGTTACATAGTTCCATGCTTTTCTCTATTTTGAATTTAATTTAAAAAAGAGAGCTTTGGACTGTTGGTCAGACAAAACAAGCAATTATACTGTGATGGGCCTTTTCATTGTTTTCTGACATTTTATAGACTAAACAATTAACTGATAATAAAAAAACGAATCATTTTATTAACTCGAAATGAAAGTAATCTTCTTGTCCTTTTACAAGGAGGGCTAGATACATTTGGCGGCATGTCTGTAACAGAAACACACAAATAATGGAAAAACTGTGTCTTCATCAGTTATCAGACTAAATGTACACCATGAGTAAATCTCTGCATGCATCAAGCTCTCTGGTTATCTCATCAAATGGCATAGCAACCACATTCAGCCTTTGATCATGGAGATGATCAGCCCATTTCTGAGCTTTCAGCTATTTCAGCTGAAACAGAGAGTTAATGCTGTATTCTTCACCATCACTCCTTTCGTCCAGCTCCAGTGTCTACCTGTCACTGAAAGAGGAAGACGTAGAGGAGGGCACAGAGGGGAAGGAGATGGCGACTGGCTCAGATGAGGTCATGACAGAGAGCTACATGACCATGGCCAAGTCTGGGAACTGTCGCCTGGTGGACGCCTCCATCCAGAAGAATATTTCATTTGATGGGAAGCCCGTAACACCAAGCGGCTGGAACGGAGGCATCGGGGAGATTTTCTCCCTGAGGGAGCAGCTCAAACAGGCTGAGGAGAAGGCCTCACAGGTGCAGAGAGAGGTTCGACGCATAATAGTGTCTTAGTAATGCATTGTTATTTGATGAGAAATATGAATAAAGCATGGGCAGATTTTGCTCAACCATTATTAGCACATGGATTTCAATCGAATACACTAAAACTTGTTTCAATAAATGCTGTCTGTCCGTCCACTGCTGTAAAAAAAAAAAGACTGAATGTGACCTCTTGTGTCCTCCAGTGTAACGGTCTGAAGGTGGAGCTGCAGGAGCTGCAGGTACTGTATGACAGCAGTCAGAGGGAGAGAGCAGAGCTGGAGGAGGAGCTGCAGCGCTGCAAGGCAGAGCTGGAGAAGCTATCAGGGGGGGCTCAGGTGAGGGACAGACATGAATAATACAGTAATATACAGTTGGTTTCAGAAGAAGGGAAACTGATGTGATTAATGTAGGTTTGTGCGGTTTGCTTTGCATTCCTAACTTTAGATTCCAAAAGCATCTTTAGAGCAGGCTGTCTCTTAATTCTTTGATTTCAAAATTAATGTGAACTTGTCCTAGAAGTGGTTTTGAGAATTCCCGGCTATAATTGTCGCAATATAATGGTTAAAGGCACTTTTTCTTTGCACCCACACTGTCAACTAACACATAACACGCCTCACATCACACGTACTGTATCCTGTGTCTGTTGAGCCCACTTTCTCTGTGTCTCATACTGTAGCAATATATGTTTGGATATGAACTGACCTGGCCTGTCAGCCCATATCTATTGTGTGCTTTGGGCTGGGAAACCTTCCCTCCCACTGTTTCTGTGTTCTAACTTCTCCGTGACAGCAATTCTTTTTATACTGTTGTTGGACTAAAACACAAAATCTGCTAAAAAAATATTCAGGCATTCAAGCCAAGAATTCCTATTGCTCTTGTTCTATAGAGAAAAAGTACTGAAAGGACCTTTGCTTATTTAGATGTTGTGATGTGTATTCTCTACCTTAAGGCTACCTTCTGTTCATTTCTATAAGGTGCTGTGTGAATGTCAACTTGTAGTAAATGAAACATGTCTAAAATAACTAATTGAAACAATTACTTAAGTCACAGTAACACTACTGTTGCATGATAAATGTTTGAAAGCGTGGATAGTTTTGATGTGTTTTTAAGTTCTCACGGGAAAATCCAAAACTCTTAACGCAAGAAGCTGCAGTACCAAATTAATTTTCCTTTAATGTCGTTGTCCTTTGGGTTTGGCTTTTCGACAACACAGTTTGCGAACGCAGCACAGTTTGACGCTTGAATGCACCAACCCGAGGACAATCTGTGGATTCAACTGCATTTCCACACAAAGACAGACTCAGTATTCTGCAAGTTGATTTTCACACAGTCCTAAAAGGAATGAACACCAATGGCTACCTGTAAGGAAAGAAAATATGCATTCAGACATCTTGAAAAAACAAAACAAAAAGACAAATCTATTGGTTGGAAGCCATGCAAAGCTCTGTACTGTAATATGGTCCTTGTATTGTAGTTAGCAACAAACAGGACTAAACCTCTGTGTTTTGTCTGCAACAGCTGTGATGAGATGTCTCTGCGTTGTGTCAAACTGTCTACCCGTGCCTGTCTCTGATGCTGTCCTTGTGCTCTGAATGTCCATGACCTCTCAGCTTGTGCGATAACAATTTTAGCAAAACATCAAAAAACAAACTACGTGGATAGAGAGACAAAAAATACCACCATATGCAAGTCACAACAATCATGTCTTTCTTTGTTTGTCACCATAACATCACACGCAGCCTAAAAATGCCACACAGGACTGCTCACACATACTCAAGTTGAGTTGATGTGTATGTCACCTTAAAGTTATGCTTTGTTTATTTAACAGGAAATGTAAATCACTCCATCACAACCTTTCTCCTTATTTCACAGCCATAGACCATGTCACACTTTTAATTTAGCGATGTGTAGTGGTGGTCCATTTGTGCTGTTGTCACAACCTTTTTTCTATCTGTGTTTTTATTATTTGGATACTTTAATCCACCCATTCATTCATTCCCTTCATTCCCATGGTCCTTGTGTTTGTTTTTATTCCCTCCTCAGAGATTCATCCATCCGTCTGAGCACCCTGTTCTCTCCATCCCCTTCATAGGAATGATTGTAATATTGGCTGTGGTCTGGTGCTGGTTGTCGGAGTTGGCGTCCCAGAGGGCAAGGTATGGGAGGAGCTTATCTCTATCTGATGCATAATGCTACATATTTAAACACTGATTAAAGAGTCAGTTCACCTAAACGACATGAAAACAAAGTTTCTGGCATCCCATTTCTAGCGATGCAGATAGTTTTGGTTTTATTTGCTCAGGTTTTCAGATGACTGTTTGTGAGAATTCTGTCTAACCCCGATCGATACAAGAAACTATCAAACGTTTTCATGGGAGCCAGAGAATGAATTCTGTGAATTGTCCAGAGGTGATCAGGACACTGTTTCTGAAAAGAGGTGTTGCTGGATTTAAAAAAAAAAAATGAATCTCTGTTGTATTTGGGTGGAGGCAGAAATATGTCACAACTTGGTTATGGCATCTGCATGGCTCAATACTGCAAGATGTTAGTAAGAAATATATATATGTGTTATTTGAGTAAACTGACCTTTCATATAAATTATTGATTAAGATCCACTTACAGTGGTGGATGTTATGGGATGGTCTAAACTGCAGAATGCCAGATAAGATCTTCGGTGAATGAAGGTAGATAATGACGTTAAACATTTACAGAAGGTGGACGTGGGACGGGTGGGCAGTTTGGCAAATTAGAGCAAAATATTTCCTTTTTATGGAACTGAATAAGTCATTTACAAGAATAGTTCAACATTTTGGTAAGTGCCTTCTTGCCAATAGTTAGATGAGAAGATTGAATTCATGGTAAAAAATCTTCTCATCTAACTCTCTGTAAGGAAGCGAATAAAATCATTTTCCTAAAATGTCAAACTATTCCTTTAAAAGCCCAGTACTAGCTGATGGATAGCCTGCACTGGCTCTTAACACTACTTTTTTCCTGTCTCCCCTCAGGGGAGTGAGGTAGGTTGGAACTCCATTTTGACTATCACTGCAGCCACAGCAGTGCTAGTAATGATGACGAGCTTGTTGAGAGCTCTCGTCCGATGTTGATTGGATGGGCAACAACTGCACAGGGACAGAGGTCTGCTTCAGACTCGCCCTCGCTCTTCTCCTGCCATGTCTACAGACTCAACTGTAATTCTCTAAATGTGCTAGAGCTGACAGCTGTGTAGTAGAAAATGTATGGGATGTCATGTCGCCAAATGAGAAGGTACTACCTGCACCGAGAACGACTGCGCTCAGTCTCATGCGAGATTGAAGATGATGATGAGCTGACCTGCAGAGAGCCCACATGAGGACTGATCTCACTCCACTAAATGTATGCTAGTGCTGTGTCACTCCTCCTCTGTGTCTGTGAATTTCATTTTTCTCTCTTTTAGCAAACAATGTGATAAAAAAATAGAATTAAGATTTTGATTGTTAATGTGCACCTAATGGTTTTCCATTAATTTAACCTTTATTTATTTATTTGTTTGTTTAAGTATTGTTCATAGTTGTCTCTGATAATATTGACAAACATGGAGTCTGGACATGTAATGCACTGAAATGTACACATGCCGTTTAAATGTAATTGTTAAGTTATGCTAAGTTGACTATTAATTACTTGTTGCTTTCCCCCCCCAAATACTGAATGCAATAAATTCGACATTCTGCAAAACTGGATTTCTAAGCCTAGCTTAAAAGGCTTATGTTCAAATCTTGGTTGGTGAAGCCAGCTCTTCTTCACAGTGTGCAGGCTCTGTCACTTCCGCTTGCCTTACAATTAATTGTCTTGTGGACCACGATGCCAGAAAGTCTGTGGAGTGTTTCTGATTCATCTTACCTGCCCACAGCTCACTTTGAAATTCTGAAATCTTACACCCACAGCGACGTTGTTACACACACATTACGGTTTGCTGAAGTTTTCTTACAGCAGATATCTCAGCAACTTTGGGAGCCAATTGCAGAACGATCAAACTATATGAATATGTTTAATGTCTAACATTTCAATGTGCAGAAATAAGCTTTTGTTCCTCTCCAGCAGGATTTGAACGGCTAGCATCGTAGTATTGTTGTTTAGATTCATGAGGATCGCAGGTTGTTCCAGGTACTCAAGTGTGAGAATGTTGACAGCCGGTGTTTCCTTGTTTACCGACGACACGCTTTATGTAACAAACTGCAGCTCTGATAAACACCGGTGGACATGCGGTCACACTTAGATTGAAACACTGATGCGTCTGAAGTAAAACATCAGGGTGTAGTAGTTGTGAAGGCATTTTAGAAATTGATATGGTTCCAAAATATGTAAAAAGGAAGGTGTCAGAAAAAGTTTTAGCATTAATTACAAAAAAATATAAATGTATATGTGGAAGGATTAATGTTTACATTTGTGAAACGTTTTTTTTGTTTTGTGAAAATATTTTAGAACTGAAAAAAAGCATGTTAGAAAAACATATAGAAGCACAATATATCATATACGTTGATTATCTTACTTTGTATTTCATGTAAATATTGATGACATAGAGTACTGTGGGAGAGATGTTTCTTAATCCATTTGTACTAGCTTTGTAGAAAGTTTATTCTATTTTGAAAGAGCATCGTATATTTGATAGCCAAATGATACGCTGTGTAAATGTTTATTTATGGTGACGTTACTCAGAAGAACAGCTAGCATTGCTAATCATTTTCAGTACCTCTCCGTTCGAAGGTGGTGTAGTCATTGCATGCGTTTAGATTGCATTTGACCTTAGTTGCTATGAGCAATATGACTCGTTAATTTCAGAAATTTTCTGAAACATTTGTCATTAAGCAGAACCTCGATAATCAATGCCTGACCTGTTATGTCTGCATATGAAAACATACTATGGAAATGATCTGCCGCTGGACTGCCAATGTTGTCACTGTCTATTTACATAATGATCAGTTTGCAATATAAATTAGATTCCCATTGACTGCAATGGTACATATGACTCGTCTGAGTTTAATTATTTTTCCTTTTTTCAGGACTATCAATGTCATCATAGATTAACAAGCTTCTATACTGCTTAGTGTTTCTCAGCTTCTTGTTGCTTGTTTGATTGTTTTCAATACAGTGGTGGCTATTTTGTTACCTGGAGGTCTATTTTGTACTGCAAATGACAAATGAGAAAATAAATATATCTACCCCAAATGATGTCTGAGAGCTTTCTTTTCTTGGAAGGTGACCTCGGTGTCAGTCACAGGGTTTAAAGTGTCGCGGAGTCCCATTCATGAAATCACCAGCAGTCGACCTGAGCGAGAACCGCCTCTGCTGGGATTACATTACACGGGTTGTATGGATATTAATAACTATCACTCTAGAGGCGTGACATAGGCTCACAGATTCCTTACAGATGGCAGTAACTGGTGTGTCGACGTTGTTGATGAGGCCCATAAACTACACTCATTACTCGGTTGCCACGACTCATGGCTCTCTATAAGTTCAAGTGTGTCTAATTATCTAAAAGTAGCGTGGATGAGCAGGCCTGGTCACGGGTTGGTACAGTTAGCTTAGCCCTCGCTGAGCAACCTTCTGTCACTTGAGGTTTCATTTAAATTAGTTTCCGGAGTCTGCACATATTCCCAACAGATTCTGACTCAAGTTTCTGTCTCATTCTGTGTCAGAGTTGTGGCTAATGAAAAATTGAAAAGTGCCTTAACGGTCGAAATGTCAGATCCAGATCACCAGTGGGACGTAATCAAGTGGGCCTTGGCCCCGGGCCTATCTGTCCAGCAAATTAGCCCCAAATCCCTTTTAAAATATTTAATATATTCACCTGACAGACTAACAGGGAAAAGCTAATTAAAAAAGGTGGAATGCTGACTGTGAGAGCAGCCATTGGCAGTCTCAGGGGATATAATGTCAAGTGAACAGTGCCCAGGTCAACAGTAGCTCTGTGACTGGGTTTTTGGTTTAGTTCACACATACTTTATACTTCCTATCAAAGGTGGAATTATATTGTAATATTATTATGAGACAAGTATACTAAAGTATTCAAAATAACATTGTAAAACGTGTGTTTAGCACATTGAGTCAAAGGTGTTTTTGTTTTGTTTGTGTAAATAAAAGAATAATCGTTTCACTTTTGGTGCAACTAAACGTTTCTAGCGTTCATTTACACACAGTGGTGTTTACTCAAATACTGTATTCAAGTACATTTTTAGGTTCTTGTATTATGATGAGTATTTTCATTCTATGCCATTTATTTAACAATAACTTGCTGCATGTCACTGGCAAATATTGTACTTTTTTAAGACTTATTTGGCAAATGTAATAAACTACTGAAAATTAATGTTTTACATATAAAAGTTAATATAATATGGGAATAAACCCACCTAGCAGTATATACAATTTTAAAAATGTGCTTTACTCTTTCTGGATACATTGTAAAATGTCACAACTAATAAATCGATAATAATGATTTAATTTCATGAAATAACACTGAATCAAAAGTAAATAAACTTGTACTTTTACTGTTGATTCCTTAAGTACATTTTGCTGGTAGTACCTTTGTGCTTGTACTTAATCACATTTCACAAGGCATAATACAGGACTTTTACTTGATGTAACATATGTTAGGTAGAAACATACCTAACAAATGAGGAGAACATGTCTTAAATGGTTGAAGAAGAAACAAAAAAATCTTAAGAGTATGTTGTTGCATGGTGGGAGATAAACCTGGCTGTGTCCAGACTGAGTACCCTAAGAAAGCCTTCTGCATGTGTCACAGCTATTCTTACCTCCCACTACTTCGTCAAGGATGATGCCTGGTGTCACTGCCATGTCCCTGACTGCTGACTCACAACAGCATGACAGCCCCCGCACCTGCAGCTAACACAACATTTATTGGAAATGACTTGTTTTGTGTATAGATGATCAATTTCACTATGTGCACTGTCAACTGTCTCAGTGTATTTCTGTTCACAGCCTCAGCCTCAATCAATGAATGCTGTCATGTTGACAAAGTTGGAGATGACACTAAGTTGGTTTCTGTCAAATCAAGAAGTGAGTTTTGTCCTTTCTTGTTTAGTGGAAAAAATATGCTTTTGTTGCTCCATTTGAAAGTGTAAATTCGGGCATACATTCTGAATTTAGTGAGTTGAAAGGCAATTACTCTCAGTTCTTGTTGGTGACAAAATATAATACATTTCCTACAATATATTTTGTTATGGTTTTGCTTGATGGTGCAGAAACATGAATTATTGTAAAGGCCTATTAAAATCCAATATTAAGCACCTTTCCATAACCTTCCCTGAGCTTCTATTGACCTTTGCTTGTCTACACAGAAATGCATTTCACTCGGGGGTGGCAGATAGCTGTGAAACACACGTAATGTAGTGGCTTCAGTCTTTAGCAGGGTGACCTCATCCTTTAAAATGTTTCATCCCCAAGGCCTCAGCGATAGAAGTTAACGTGCAAAATCAAACTTCTGACAGTTCTCTCCAGTAAAAACACAACATATTGAGACGGAGGGACTCGCTGCACGTTCTCACTTTCTTTTCTTAGCGCGATTGTTCAGCCATTTGGATCCTGAGCATGACACACATTCGCAACGATCGTCAAGTGCCAGCCCCCAGCCTCTCAAATAGGAGCGCCTAAAAATAAAGAGCATGTCGCAACTGTTGCGCTGCCTGGTGTCCTGACCAATCACTATCCCACCCTCCCCGTAAACCGACCCCGACTCACGGTATCCTTATGGATTAGCAAATAGACTATGATCACAGTGGCTGAGTGACGCGGCCCCGGGTCCTTTATAAAGCAAACTCTTTCCTCTCTCAACATTCAACACGCTCAGTGTCAACTTTAACAGTGCTCCTCCAGCTCACCTGCCACGAAACTCCATTCTTCAAAAAGGCGACATTCTTCTCGGGGCCACAGTAGAGAAGGACTACTTGACAAGTGGGTGCCAATTATAAAAAAGCGGACGACCAGCTGCCTTTGCATATTGTAAATCGGATATTTTAATCCATCACTGTCCCGACTTTAAGTGGTTTCTTCGCAAGTACATCTGAAAAATCTCTAGGCTGCTTTTTAAACTCCCTCAAGTTTGAACTTTCCTCCGCGGGAGCGCGCTTGCCATCGACCTGCTAAAGTTTTCTGCGCTGCCGAGCGCACAATTCAACACTTAAGTGTCACCGAGGTATAAAACTGGACTCGGAAAACGCCAACATGATGAGCAACAACTACGGCGACGACCAGCAGCCTCCGCAGTATTACCAGGCCACCGACTTTGGGGAAGAGGAGGACGACGAGATGCCAGCCACGGAGAAGGACCTGGCCGAGGACGCGCCATGGAAGAAGATCCAGCAGAACACCTTCACCAGGTGGTGCAACGAGCACCTCAAGTGCGTCAACAAGACCGTCACCGACCTGCAGAGGGATTTTACCGATGGGCTGAAGCTAATTTCACTCCTGGAAGTTTTGAGCCAGAAGAAGATGTACAGAAAGTACCACATCAGACCCAACTTCCGTCAGATGAAACTGGAGAACGTGTCTGTGGCGCTCGAGTTCCTGGACAGAGAGCACATCAAGCTGGTCTCCATAGGTAAGACTTCTGGAAACAATACATTAGTAAAATGTATCCTAAACATAAGACAACAAAAGTAGCATGCTATTATTAGATAGTTATAAAAAGGATGCCCTAATACTTTAAAAGATGAACCATGACAGCAACAACATTTAATATATTTTTATACATTTAAAGGAGCTGTATAAACCATTCAGAGCATTAATATAGAGGCAAAAAAGATATAATGAGGTACTGTATACCTGAGCAGAGAATTACGTCACTCTCTCTCGCTCTCTCTTGTTATCCGAGCTTTGCTGTGATTGGTTGACAAAACCGGGCCAGCTGCGTGTGCTAGTTGAACATATTAGTGCATGAGAGCGTGCCCCACTGGTTCGCTCATGGCTGCTGCTCTGTGTGCTGCTCGTGTATGGCGGTTACGGTTGATAACGCCGTCACCACCGACAGCACCGCTGTGGAAGCGTAGCACCCATCCTCCGGTTCCCCTCAGGTAAATACTGTCAGCTCTGTCAGCACCTGCGCCTCTGGAAAGCTGCATTGAGCTGAGGTCAACAGCTTATTGGAAAGTTACTGCAGACTGGGTGCCACTCAGGTCATTTACTTGTGTCAGGGCCAAGGACTGGTGGCTCCATAGTATGCTTAGGCATATTCCTGCTGCAGCAATGTGGTAAACTATGGGTGGAAATTCACTAGGCCTGTGCTAATGAGAATGACACAATTTATAAGTACATGTGGACAGCACTCACACACACACACACACACGCATGGCCCCTCTGTACACATACAGGCACACACACACACTCACACACGCACACATACACACACACACCTGTCAGGTCAGAGGTCAGATCGACACACTGGGGCTATTTGCTGACAGCCCATTGCTGTCTGTAGCCATCAGCAGCTCCAGTGAGGTGAGGATTAACTCCAGAGGGATTTAGGGATCAAACTGTGATGCAGATAGCTGAAGTTACAATAAACTGTTGCGGATGTGTGTCACATCCCACAATGTCACCAGAAGAAGACTTGACTCCACCGGAGTGAACAGAATGCCACCTCTTAGACTCTCTGTTTAATAACTAGTCGCCTAATATCAAAAGCACATATATCGTAGGATGAAGAGTTACGGCTTAATTATACACCTGTAGACAACCCCACAATTCATGCCGGAGAAAAGTTATTAAAACTTTGACAGAGCATTTTTCTGTTTTGGTGACGAATGATCCTGCCACACACTTGAGTGAAATTCCCGGCATGGCTGAAGCTTTGGCCGGCGGACTGTGAAGGCCACAGTGTGTCCAACCTGGATATACACTGAGTGTGCTAGTTTGAGTGTGTGTGTAATGATCCTGGGGGGGGTGGGGGATTACGGCAAGCTCATATCTCCTGGTGATCGCGGGAGGGCAAAGGTCACTATCACAGATATCACCACAAAGTCTGCAGGGCGTGCGTCCAGGAATGTGTGTCTGGGACTTAATATGTCAGTGTGAGGCTGGCACCGTTGTCCCAGCTGTACAGACACACACCAGGTCAGACGGGTTTGACAGAAGTCCTGGCATTTTACCTCGTAGCACCCTCTCCCTCCAAGCAGCTCTAGTGGGTCAATGCAGCCCTCTTAAGATAA